GGGTCACAGGGAAGAGATGAGCCAGTCAGGATGCAGTATAGCACCGATGAAACACACAACTTTCCTCTAGTTCTTTTGTGCTTCCTTCCCCCCATTTCATGACCTTAAGTCTCCCTTACAAATCAGATTAGACCAGAACATGCACACTACTACAGATAAGAGCCCCCAACACTGGGAATCCAGGATAGATAAAACTCTCAGGACCAAAAATGAGAGTAGAGATATCAGGAGGATTAGAGGAGGGTTGCGGGGACAAAGGGGAAATTGATCACAAGGATCAATGTAGAACCCCCTCCCAGGGGGACGAAAAATGGAAAAGTGGGTGAGGGGCAATGGAGGACAATGTAAGATATGAAAATAATAATCTATAGCTTATCAAGGGTTCAAGAGGGAGGGCAGGTGGGAGAGAGGGGGCAGAAATGGGGAGCTGATATCAGGGACTCGTGTGAAGAGAATGCTTTGAAAATGACGATGGCGGCATATGTGCAAATGTGCTTGACACAATGGATAAATGTATGGATTGTGGTAAGAGCCCCCAATAAAAGTATGGGGGGTGAGGGGAGAAAGAAAAGAGGAGGCACAAGGAGCCAGCTCCCTGTGATCCTTGTCCAATTTATTGAAAAGGATGACATGGAAACAAAAGTAATAGTGACTAAGAACATGGCATCTGGCACCTGAACATAAGTATGTCCACTTAATGGCTCTGAGGCCACAGCAAGTTACTTAACCTCTGTATGAGTATGACTCAATTTCCCCATAGGTAAAATAGAGATCATTATTGTTTCTACCTTAGGGTGGTTGCTGTGAGAATCAAATTTTTGTTTTACATGGCAAGCATGTTTGGCACACAATCACCCTGTATGTTTGCTGATGTCATTAGTACTATTGCTTCTTCACTGTCACTCATTTCTCAGCCCATTCTTACTCCACTACTTTGCCATAAACAGTATTTGCCACGTAAGTCCACTGATCTCTATGTTGCTAAATCCAGTAGCTATGTTTCAATGATCCTTTTCCTGGAAGTCTAGGGTATCTAGCTGACAACGGAGGCCCTCTTCTGAGAACAATCTCTTGCCTGCTTATGACACACCCTGGGTTTTCTTTCTACCTCTCAAGTGGCTTCCAGTCTGCCTCCTTTACAAGTTCATCCTCTTTCCTCCTGTACTTGACCTCGTGTTGGCATTCCTGAGACTTCATCCAGAGCCTTCATGTCTCACCCTATTTGCTTTCCCTAGAGAAGTTCATCTTTGACCAGGGTTCAGTGACCATCTACCTGCAAGTGTTTCACCTGTCTCGGTCCAGAGCCCAGACCACTCTGCAGTACTCCAGACCCCATCAGGCTGAGATAAACCCACCCAAAGAAACACTCCCTTAGTACTAGATACTAAACAACTACCCTTCACAGCATTTTCTGCATCTGCTATAAGATGGTAGGCTCCACAGAGTAAGGAGCATGTCCATTTTCTCACCATTTTGTCGCAGGAGCCGACTGAGGGAGTGTCCAGAGGTCTCCCATTTGCACTGGGGTCTCCTACCACTCCTTTAACAACTCCTAACTGTGCTCATTTGTGCTGATCTAAAACTATAACAGGGGAACTTTGACAGTGTGCAAAATATACCCAAGGAAACAACATTGCACCAAGCCCCCAAATTACTTTTAATTGCTGAAAACGGCTTATCAATGTTCTTGCTGTTAGGTGTGGTCAAGTCAGTACCAAGTCATAGTGGCCCCATGTGTGAAGAAGCAGAGTACTGTCTGGTCCTGTGCTTTCTTCACGATCATTATGTTTTCATTGTTATGTTTGAGTTCATCGTTGCAGCTACTGTGTCAATCCATTTTATTGAGGTCTCATCTCACGAGACAAGTGAAAATACCATGGCTTAAGCCAGGTGCACCTCAGTCTTTAAAGTAACATCTTTGTTTTTTAACTCTTTAAAGAGATTTTTCCAGCAGATGCACCCATTGCAATATGTCATGTGATTTGCACACTGCTGATTCCATGAGCATTGACTGTAGACCCAAGTAAAATGAAATGTTTGACAACTTCAATCTTTTCTCCTTTTAATATGATCTTCCTTATGGGCCCAGTTGTGATAATTTTTGTTTTATCTTTTCAATGTGTAATCTATATTAAAGGCTATAATTTTTGGTCTTCATCCTTAAGTGCTTCAAGTCCTCTTCACTTTCAGCAAGCAAGGTTGGGTCATCTGCATATTGTAGGCTGAGTCTTCCACCAATCCTGATGCCTCCTTCTTCTTCATACAGTCCGGTGTCTGGGATTATCTGCTCAACATACAGATTAAGTAACTATGAGGAAAGGACACAACTCAGATACACACACCTTTCCTGATTTTAAACTGTGCATATCTCCTTGTTCTCTTTGAAAGACTGCTTCTCGGTCTATACACTGGTTCTTCATGAGCACAAATTACTGTTCTGGAATTTCAATTTGTCACAGTGTTATCCATAATTTGTTATGACCCACAAAGTCAAATGCCTTTACATAGTCAATAAAACATTTTTTCTGGTATTTTCTGTTTTCAGCCAAGATTCATCTGACATCTGCATTGATATCCTCTGTTCCTTTAAAAACAAACTAATGTGGGCAGATTCAGCCTTTGATAAAGCAAGGCTATGCAATGCTGCAGACAATGTAGCAGGTCTAAGCAAGAGATGCAAACGGGCGGGGGGGAGGGCGGCGTTGCTATTTATACCTTACTTAAACTGGGTGGTTGCCATGTGCCAGGATGTCTATTCCGAATCATAGAACTGCCCCCACGGTTTTCCAGGTTATAAACTTCATGAGAGCAGAAATCCAGTTCTTCCTGCGCCCCTCCTCCCCAGCAGTCACTATATTCCATACAGTGCTGTGGGTCGCGACCCCGTGGGGGGGAGGGTGTCGAACGACCCTTTCACGGGAGTTGCCCGATTCATAACAGTAGCAAAATTAGTTATGAAGTAACAACGAAAATAATTTTATGGTTGGGGGTCGTGGCATTACGAAGGTTGTGAGAACCACGGAGCGAGTTTAACTACTGCACCAACAGGGCTCCTATCACTTGAATGTCAGCAAGTGAACCACCTAAGACCCAGCATTTCTGAGTTCAAGACTTGCGAAGAGGCCTTTCAGGACCGCAGAGTGAGACACTGCTTTGGAAATAATTTAAAAAGTAGACAGGTAAGTTCAACGGAGGAAAATCCAAACCTGGGCGTCGGTTTTTTTCCTGTACAGTCTGCAGTTAATGCCGAAAAGGGGTGGAGAGGGGTGTTAAAGCACAAAAATGGAGGAGCGCAGACGCCACAGACAGCATACAAGAGTAAACGACCTCATCCCGACTGTCCTGAGACCTCCAGCTCCACCAGTTACCCAGAGGTCACGCCCCCTGTGACAGTCTCGCGAGACTAAAACGAATTCTCGGAATTCTCTCCGTCTCGGGGCGTCTCCCGAAGGAGCGGGACAAAGTAGGAGGAGTCGGTGGCGCTTGTCCGACCGCCCACGTTCTACGCTCGGAGATATCGAGACATCTACAGATCTCGCGATCTTTCGGCAGCCCGGACTCGCCAAGCGGAGACCGAGCGCGTGTGCAGGGAGGGTGGAGACAACACGGCAGGGAGATACCCCTTTGGCCTGCTGTACGGAAGCCTGCGAGGGAGGGATTTGACCGCTGTCCCTGCGTTGCCCGGTCCCGTTTGTCCCGATGCCCAGCGCCAGCGCCAGCCGCAAGGGTCAGGAGAAGCCGCGGGAGATCATGGACGCGGCAGAAGTGGGTTTCCTCTTTTTCGGGCCTGGGGAGACAGATCCCAGGCGTACCGATTCGGGGAGGGAGTAGCGTGAGCGGAGCCCTTCCCTCAGGGGCCCTGTCAGTACTTTGCCACAGGTTGCGGGCCTTGACCCAACGCTCCCTGGGACTGCATTTCTTGGGGATTCCTGGCCCTGGAAGTCCAGTCCTACAAGAAGCGTGCCCTTGGGGTCGGGTAGCATGAAGCACGACCCGCCCGGAAGTAGAGGCGGCACTGGGACGTGCACGTCCTTCACGTAATATACTCTTCTGGAAATTTTTTACTACCCCATGATAATGGATATTTACTCAGCCCTCGTGGTCGTAATGTTTTGAAAGTAGTGACCCTTTTCCGGAGGACAGCGTCAAAGAACACATGTCATTTACGTGATTTTCTCTCATCAATACCCAGTACAGAGGGAAGATTGCAGAGAACCCATTTGAGATGACGTGACCCACAATCACATGTAATCCACAACACCCAGGGGTGCTTCCCAGAAATGAATGTTTGAAATCATCTAAAGGTTGTGTGTGTGCCTTAGGAATATTGAACCTTAATCCCTGCCCATCACCTCATTTGTCTGTTGAGGAATTCTGATTTGTACTAAAAAATAATAGACGCAAGGAATAGATCAGCTGGATGGAATAAGATTTGTCAAAATAAGAACACTACTATTAAAAATGGGCAACACCTTTGTTAAATTTTTCACACGCTTTAACTGCCTATGCTATCTTCAGGTTATTTGGTGTGATTACCTCCTACTAGGGCCCTGGTACCTTTGTTATTAACATTTAATTTTTTTAATATATAAAAAATTTTCCCCCATCAGTGGTGAAGTGGGGTACGCTATGGACTACTTTCCATTCTGTGGAATGAAAATGAGGCTTTTTACTCCCGTAAAGAGTTATGGTCTCGGAAATCCACAGGGACAGTTCTACCCTGTCCTATAGAGTCGCTAGGAGTCAGAATCGACTCGATGGTAGTGAGTGGTGAGTACCACAATATGCTTCCTTTTTTGGCCTCCATCATTACAAAATTCAATATCCTTAAGACCTAAGGGATATGATTTCAGTGGTTGCTCTAGCGTGACAAGGTGGTTGTTTTATGCAGAGCCTAAATTGCCTTAAAAATGTAAAAAGTTATTTTAATATTAATCTGGTCAATTATTGAAATTAGATTGTAGCAGAGTTACATCATTTGTAGCTACAAGGATTTTAGGAAGCGTTTCTAGAGATATAGTAACTGATTAAAATAAGAGCCACTCATTTGTTTGAAAGTATAGACTATGAATAATAGTCTGGACCCTACATTCCATTTCCTGCTCCTAATTTTGTCTCTGTAACAAGAATCTTGATATTGTATTATCAATGAAAAACAGCTTGTAACCTAGTATGCTGATGCTGGTTTTTATGGAACAACAAGCTGTGAAGTTTTTTTATGATGTTTTACAAAAAGAAAGCTGTAGCTAGCTACCCAGCATCTCCAGTTTCTAAAACCTGTGGACCATCTGGTGTTCAGAAAGCTTATCCAAAACGGTTCACTTTGAACATCTCTTCCTGTAATGGGAAGTTAATAAAACTGATACTTCATCCATCCCACTCCCTTCAAGAGGAAATTTATATCCCTGTTTTGAAGTAGTTTAATCTCCTTTTTGAAGAAAATGTAGTTAAAATGTATTGTACATGTACATAAATTTTATCTGAGAGTGCTACAGTGCTATTATGTGTGGTATATCCATCCAGGATTGATTCAAGACAAAATAACCATAAAATGTGGGTACTTTCTCATCAACTGTGGAGTACATTTGTGAATGATACATGACTAATTTCTACACTAAAACTACTAACTCTAATAAAATGATTCTGAAATCTAAAATGGATTTATTAATATATTCTGTTATTTCAGTGGTTCTCAACCTTCCTAATGCTACGACCCTTTAATATAGTTCCCCACATTGTGGTGAACCCCAACCATAAAATTATTTTTGTTGCTACTTCATAACTGTATTTTTGCTACTGTTAAGAATCGTAACATAAATATCTGATGTGCAGGATATATTTTCATTGTTAAAAATTAAACATAATTAGCATAGTGATTAATAACAAAAACAATATATAATATATATTGTGAAATATTTATTTCTAATTACAAATAAATGAGATTTTGTCTTGAAGCATGGTGTAGCATGAGTAACAGTCATTCAACACCAGGTACTCATGTGGGCATATCTGCATGTGGGCGGACCTGCCTGGAGATGATAGAGGAGCGGTGTCTGGTTCCTAAGACCATCAGAAATAATGTGTTTTCCAATGGTCTTAGGTGACCCCTGTGAAAGGGTCATTTGACCCCCAAAGGGGTCACGACCCACAGGTTGAGAACTATTGTGTTATTTGTATATGTGTTCTGTTCCATGCTATTTCTGTTTGTCATACCAAAAAAAAAATTTTTTTTGTAGGATTATGCTAAAGAAAGATATGGAGTATCTTCAATGATACAGTCACAAGAAAAACCAGGTTAGTAACTATGTCATATTTAATAAAATTTGTTTCCCCTGACACCAATCCCTTACTCACTGTAAACAGAGCTTAATCCATTGGAGATTGACCCGTGCAGGGCAACAGTTCACGGGGTTTTGCTAGCAGCAGAACTGCACTTGCATAGACTACTCATACCCTCAGTGTCTTGAGTTGTCGGTAGAAAAATTGTTGATGGTATCAGTGCAATCACCCTGCACGCCAGGGGGATGGTTGATGATGTTTGCTTTTTGGTTTCTTTGGGTTTTTGTTTTACCTTTTGTTTCTGGTCTTGAGTTGTGTTTTCTTTCCTGTTTGCTGTTTTGTTGCTGCTGCTGTTAGTCTTTTTTTGGTTTGTATTTTGTTGGGTGTTTTTGTCTTAATATGACTGCCAAAGTAAATCAGAGCCCTGCATAACCCATGGACAAACCGTTGGATTCTGGGCTCCCACTTAACCTTAGCCCCAATCCAAAAACAGTTAGTTTTGATAACATGGCCCTACTAGATACTCACCTTCATGAAAGGACCACTGAAGATAAGGGTGCTATAGCAAAGTGTGGTGAAGAAAGCAGATGGTCCCCAGCCACCAATAAGAATAGTGCCTGGGGTCTTAAAGGTTTGTATTCAAACGAGTAGCCATTTGGGTGAGGAGTCAACTAAGTTCATGTGGAAGGAGCACAGCAGCCTGTGTGATCCAAAGATGACAATAACAAAATACAAATATGATGAAGGGAAAAGTATCCGAGCTGCACTTGTAAGCACCAATCTGTAGAAGGCTGTGGGGGACAGAGGATCCAGTTAGATTAAGCCTGGCAGATCCCTTCTAGCCACAGGTTAACTTTCAGACAGTTTATTTTTAACTTGATTGTGGTGGATGGAACGTGGTATAATTTGACAGTCGGTCAGCTGACCTCCATCTTGACCCAACCTGGATTTGACCTAGGCTTAAGTATTTCTTGCTTGTTCCACAATAAAAATTTATTCCCTGCCTTTTAAATATTGATGGTGGCCTTTTTTTCCTCTTTCTTTTTTATTTGACTTTTTTTAAAAAATCATTTTATTAGGGGCTCTTACAGCTTTTATAACATTCCATACATCAATTTGTATCAAGAATATTTGTACTTAGGTAGCCATCATCATTTTCTAAACATTTACTTTTAACGTTTTTTTTTTATTAAATAATAATCTTATTGACATATCTTTCTCATTCTAGTATATCCCTTCCCTCACCATTCAGCTCTGTTGTTCAAGCCCATTGGGTAGGGTTATACAATCATCAATGCTATCCTCCTCTCACTTCCCATATCCCTTAGGTAACCTTCCTCCTAGCACTGTCTCTGAGGGGTCATCTATCTTGACTACGATGTACCAAGCGCTCCTGAATGTACAAATGAACATATGCAAAGCTAGCATGCTTAATGAGGTATAGCAAATAAGTCATAATAGTAAGGGGAGGAAATAATAGAGAACTATAGGTGGTTCATCAGTGCCATACCACCCCTAGATTTATCCTCTGTTCTGTGAAGCCTTTCTAAGAGGGACTGCCCTATTGTCTTGCTGTTGGACTTTGGGTCTCCACTATATCGCTCCCCTCCATATGGATTTGGTTGTGTTTTTTGAACTTCTGGTACCTCTTTCCATCAACACCTCATGATTGCACAGGCTGGTGTGCTTCTTCCATGTGTGTTTTGTTGTTTCCCTGCTAGATGGCCTCTTGTTTAACTACAAGCCTTTAAGACTCCAGACGCTATAGCTTTTGATAGCCAGGCCCCATGTGCTTTCTTTACCACATTTGCTTATGCACCCATTTTTTTCTTCATCAATCATGTCAGGAAGGTGGGTATCATACAGTGACACATTATTAGAACAAAGACGATCTTTTCTTTCTTACTCACTCTTTATGTGGATTTTAATTTTTATATTATTATTATTTCAATCTTGCCATTTGATCTTGTTTTTGTGTTTTTATTGTTACTGCTGAGATTCCCAGTTTGTGAAGCGCAAAAGGAGTAGATACATAGAGATAGTAACTGATATTACAATGGTTTATCAGGGATATGGAGGTGATAGGGGGGAGATAAGGGAGGGCCAAAGGGATTTGGGGAGCAAACAAGGAATCCAGAATGTGTGAGTAAACAATGGAATTGATTATGATTATGTGTTTACAATTCATTGTAAAGCGATTTAACCATGGAAGTGTATGATTTGAGAATACCATAGCAAGAAAACCACTGGGAAAAAAAAGAATGTTGATATAATGTGAAAAATGTAGCCAATGTCATTGAACAATATGTATAGATTATTTAATGGGGTCCTAATTTGATATGTAGACTCTCACCAAAGCGCAAGAAAATATATTAATAATAATAAAGTTTGTTTTTAATTAAGCTCTTCATGAAGTGTTAAGTAGGATTTGTTCTAGGGAGCAAATTCCAAAAGGTTTAAGTCATACTAATAACCCAAGTAGATGCCATAACCCTGTGAGGTATCAGCATCTCTCTAAAACATTAGTTTAGATTCCTAATCAAGAAAAATAAGGAGCCCTAGTGGCATAGTGGGTATGAGTTGGGCTGAAATCCAAAAAGTTGACCGTTCGAAACCACCAGGTGTTCCTCAGGAGAAAGATGGGCTTTCTACTCCTGTAAACAGTTAACAGTCTTGGAAACTCAAAGGTCGCTATGAGTCTGCGTTGACTGTATGACAGCGAGTTTAGTTTTCTGATTTGACGATCTAGAGAAAGGAAGAACATGCATGACATAAATACTGTAGATTAAATAAGGAGCCCTAATGATGCTGTGGGTTTGGTAGTTATTAAGATCAGCAAGTCAGACCCCTCCAACCACTCCTCAGGAAAGATGAGACTGTATTACTCCTAGAAAGGCTCACAGTCTTGGAAACACTCTGTAAAGTTTTGGGGAACGGAAAAGTCAGCAGTGGGAAGCCACCACCCACTTTGTGGGAGGACAAAGCTTCCTACTCCTGTAAAGCGCTCCTGTCACAAGAATTCACAGGGGCAGTTCGACCCTGCTCTGTAGGATCAGTGGGAGATGGAGTCAGCTCGAAGGCCATGAGTTTGATTTTCTGGTTAGGAGATAAAAGAAGAGTTGTTGCTAATACCTAACTGCCTTCATCTTATGCACCCTTTTTGCAAGCTTTAAAGCTACACTCCTTTTTTTTTAACCCCTTCTGTGTCTGTGACATTTTTTTGGTTAAACTCGCGTGCTTGTTGTTAGCTGCCATGGAGTCAGCTATCAACTGCTGGCGGACCCTGTGTACAACTGAACAAAGTGCTGCCTAGTTCCTGTACCATCTTCGTGATCAACTGCACAGCAGATTGTTGTGACCATAGGCACAGATCACCAGGCTTTTCCTAAAACACACTCACACTGGCAGAGGAGGTAGGCTCAGGTGTGTTGACCAGGAATAGAAAGCAGGAATTCTACCACAGAATCACCAGTGTCCTCACCCTACACTGCTAGACTCTTTCAAACATTTGTTTTCTAGTTTGTAACACTATCATTGGCATGTAATTCACATATCACACAATTCAGTCGTTCAGTCATACTAAGAAGAGCTGTACAGTCATCACCACAATCAATTTCGAAATACTCATTTTCTGATTAAATCCTCACAACATTTTGAAAACTAGATGAGGAATGTTCAGTAA